CATGAGCCCAGAGTTGGAAAACATCATACCTGGTCGCATTATCCTTTGATGGACTGAAGATCTTTATCCAAGTTTAACAGTGAGTGTTTCTCCATTCTGTCATTTGCTAACAACAATAATGATAATGATAATAATAATAATAATAATAATAATAGTTAAGAAGTCTTATATACCTATTATGTGATTTCACATTGAAAATGAGTCTTTATTTCCCCATAATCTTTTGCTTCTGGCAGCTTAAAACAAACAAACAAACAAACAAACAAACAAAAGAATGAAGGGCCTTGAGCATTCAGGACACTGGGGGCTCCAGTGAGCAGAGAGAGGATGTGGCAAGTGCACTGGGGCAGCTTCAGGGGGTAGGTGAGCATTGAACTTCTCCAGACAAGGTCCTGAAGCCTAAATGACCCATCCAAGATGGAACAAACTTGAGTTTGATCCACATCAACCCAGACATCCAAGATTCCTGATTTGAAAAGACAGGGGCAATTGGAGTGGCCAAGCTCCCGGGGAAAGACGATTCTCTGCATCACAGGGTTGTTTTGTCATGGGTTATAAGGTCCACCTAAATCAGTGCAAAGGATCCTAGAATCTAAGTCTGGCCCCTGGGTGGGTGGGGTGAGGGGGAGTGTCCTGGATTATACAATGGAATCCAAGTCTAGTCAACAAGTTAAAGTTCAAGGGTAGAATTCAGGGTGAGTAAAGACCTGGGAAAAAGTCTACTTAAACTTGTAGCTGCATATGACTGGGGCAGAGTGGGGTAGACATCAAGGATCAGTGAACAGAGGGTTTTTTTGTTGTTATTTATGTATCTCTTTGCTCTTGGTTCCTGTTTTACTCTCTCAGAGAGTTCATTCCTTCTTTTGCCTTCACCATTACCCCTGTCTAAGCAACTATATTTTTGGTCCTGACTACATTACATATTGTCCAGAGACCATCATCATTTGAATGTTTCCTTTCACTCAAACACAACATATCCAGAACCAGTCAGAGTAATGAGCAACCTTTCCCTCTCATTTCACAGTTGTGGCCTTAGGGATTGGTCCTCCCCTCTCTTCTTGATACTGCCCCACAATACTAGAACCTGCTGCTATTGCCAGCTCCTGCAAAATGGACGTGTGACCTCTCAGTGTCCCCGGACTTCTAATTTCATGGAACATCTCACACACCCTTTGGTTTTTACAATAGGAAAAAATTTAAATTTTATTTTAAGTGGGAAAATTAAAGAGTTTCAAAAAGTAAGATTCTTGGAGTTTTTAGATTCTAATTAGAGGTAGACTTAATCTTATTTAGGTGTATTTGTCTTTGCAGCTTTTTCATTCTAGGTAACCATGACTCTCAATAAATAAGTATTCTTATGAAGGGGATGTTTCTCTGTCTCTGCTCTCTCTGAATCTCTCTGTCTCTCTGTTTTTCTCTCTCTTTCTCCATCTTAGGAAAGATTATAGGAAAAATTTACATTAGTACTAAAATCTGCCGCTAATTTTTTTTCTGTGCATGCATTTTGGTTCTGGAAGAAAATTTGGCAAAGTTTATCAGGACAGTTTGACCCAGGGATTCCATTTCAACGAGATTCTTCTAAAGAAAGAACAAGGGATGTTCTCAAAGATTTATATCCAGGATATTCACTTCAAAGTTATTTGTAATCATTACAAATGGAAACAATTCACATTTAAAAATAGAGAAATACTAAGGTAAATGATTATAGCCATGAAATATAATGCATCCATTAAAATCCTATTTTAAGACTATTTCATGTCTTAAAGTTAAGGAACAAAAGAAGAAGTAAAAATAAAAAGCAACTATTGAAACTGTTTTTACTATGGTCCCAAATTTATCCTTAAAGGTGTAAATGACTGTGTGTGGCGTAAGTAACAAAAGAAGTAAGCATAAGCTGGCATTCCAGGGTTCTAATTGGTTGTCTGTCTGAGTGGGACTGTAGACAAGTTTTACATTTTTTAAATCATTGTATGCATTTGCCAAATGTTTTCCTAGAGATATATATTATTTTATTCATTCATTCACTTACTCAATAAACACAGTACTGGTGAGGTGCCCAGTACTCTGCTTTGTGCTGAGGAGATAATGTAAACCAGACAGAACAGACATGTTCTTTGCTTTGCTAAGAGTTTATAATCCGCTAAAATTAAAAGGAAAAGTTTATTTTTTAATTCATTTCATTTGACCCAGTAATTCCACTGCTAGGAATCTATCCTAAGAAAATAAGCAAGAAAAACAAAATTATCATACAGAAATGTATACTAGTGCATTACTCATAATAGCAAAAAATCTAGAAGCAACCTAAATACCCAACAGCAGGGAGATACCTAAAGTAATAATAGTGCATTCATATAATAGAATAATAGAAAGCTGTTAAGATTATGTTATGGAAGACTTTTTAATAACAAGGGAAAATGTTGTTAATATTTTCTGTTAATATCAATAGAAAAAAATAATTTACAAAATTATATAGAATCTGACCTTAGGTATATAGTGTAATAGTCATGAGAGAAATTCACATGTTAACAAACATTACTTTTGCCCAGGAAAGTAATGGTTGATTTGTATTTTGGGGTCTATGCTCTTCATACTTGCCCAGTTTTCTGCAATGAACAAGGTTTAATTTTATTATCAGAAAAACCAGGTGGCTTTCATTACTTAAGACTTGATTCAAGGGTTATCTGTGAAAGATTCAAGAAACATACAAAAAGTAGCTTCGCATTTTCTCACAGCCTGCATTGGCGTGGTGGGGGAGGGAGAGATCATTCATATGGAGTGAGTTTAGGGCCCCTTCTATTCTAAAACTGGACAGAATGGATGACCACAAAGGCAGGGGAGCTACATCCCTCAGAGGGCCTGAGGGGATTAATTCACTTTGTGCTCAAAAGGTGAGCGAGGGAAAATAGAAGAACACTGGGAGGAGTTGGAGACACAGTCCTGACACCTAATCCCTGACCCTACCTTGAACTCAAACCTGAGTATGTCATTAATAGCATCCCTGACTGTATCTGTACATTAGGGATATGGGGACATTTCTTGGTGCTGTCATTTCCCTCAGCTTTGGCACTAGAAATTCTCTGACTTCACTGAGCAGAGTTCACACAGGGGCAAGGTCTGTCTATGGTTTGCCTTGGATAAAAACAGTGGAGCTTGAGATGCCAGCATCAGGGCAGCTCCCTGTCCAACCCCTGTGAAGACTTTGAGCCTGCCTCTTGCCTGCCCTTAACCTAAGTTCAAGGGTAAAGATCAGGGTTGTGGAACATGTCATTTCTGTAGAAGCCAGAGCAGAAGAGCTGTTGACTGCTGCTCATACTGACTGACTGACAGGTCTCTTGAGCTCACACAAGGTCCCAACGCAGTAAAAACACCAACTTTCCTTCTAATTTAGGATCGTCAAGATAGCATGTGTAAGGTACCAGTTTTCACTGCACCTATATTCAATTACGTATCAAGCTTCAGGTTTTCTAAGTTTAAAGGGGCTGCTGTGAGATAAAGGGGTAAGTCAGTTCAGGAAGATTTACAAGTGTACCTCATGTTCAGCAAACTGCATATCTGAAAACCAGCATAGCATAAAAGATAACTTTACTAAATAATTCACTTCACTACCACTTTGAGAAATTTAAAATTGCTCCTTCCACATTTAAAATATAATGGATTCACCATAAGTTGCCTTACACACAACATATCAAGCAAATAAGAGCTGAATAAAGGGAGGGGTATGTGGAACTAAGAAATCAGTATTTGGACACCAATGCAAAGGAAATAGCCTTCTCTGATCTTAGAAGTGTTTATTCACAATAGAAACTGAAAAAGACCTCAAATCAACTGCAAATCATAAACTATCTTTATACAAAAGGGTTTAGTAGTTTGGGAATTTTTTTGAAGTTTTTCTCCTAGCTCCTGTTTTTGAGTTTCTCACACTCATTTATCTCAGCAAGGCCATCAAAGAACCCATTTTGAAATCACAGTGGCAGGTGTTTTAAACCTACCTCCACATCCCCTGTAAACATTTAACACTGATGCGCACACAGATATACACATGAGATACCTACCTAGGACCCGCACAAAAGCTCAGTACGAATAGAGCTGTGCTGTAATAATCAACTTTCCATCATGCCACCTGAGGGGCCATCCATTCCAGAGTGCCACCCCTCCTCCGCCGTGTTTGAAAATTCCATTCAGTCAGTTACTGAAACCCTAACCTGTTGGTTACAGGAAGGAAAGAGTTCTCAACTGCCTTTGCTGAGCACGTTTCTCTGTGGATCCAGACAGGCCAAAAACACTGATCTCATGTTACAAGGGAGACTTAGAAACACTCCTGGGTAAGCTCCTATCTACGGAATGCCTTAAGAGCAGTGTAGCTGCCTCTCATTCATGACAGAGAACTTCTAGCAGTGTAGAGGAAGCTGAATTAGAATTCCGAGCATTTCTGGTTCTAGTAAAATAAATGCTCTTCACATCCAAAGAATATTAGAACATTGAGGTAGGAGCAGCAAGTTCCTGAGTAGTCAGGAGAAAGGGAAAAATGATCAATTCTGGCTAGGCATATCTAACACTGCAAGGCACCAAGAGGCTGCCCCACAGAAGTAGGCCCCAGGGGTTTACAAATCCCAGGCAGGAAGCCACACCTCCACCAAGCCCTGGGCATACTACTCAGGCTTTCAGGGCAAAGAAAAGAAATACAAGGAAAGAAGCAGGGGTGGGAAGAAAAATGCCTGGGAGATGAGGAGTGAAGGGATGAAGAAAAGAGGGTTAAATGGAAAAAAAAAAAAGGGTGGGTGGGGGGTGTAAAAAGGAAGGGGGACTGGTGATGGGTGAAAAGAGAAAAAAGGGAAAGAGGAAATAGAGTAGAAAATGATAAGACAGTCTCACGGTCAACACCTGGCTGTCAGTAAAAATCCCTTCACCTTGAACTAGGCACAACCCAACCACCCAGCCCCAGAACAAAGCCATGGTCCTCCGTGGACATTTTCTCCCTTTTCCACAAAGGGCAAGCTCACCTATCCAAGGCCACGGCTGTCATGGAGTAGATACTGGCAAAGACTGCCGCGATAGGGAAGAAGTTGTGGAACTTGCAGTAGAACAGGCCGTAGTACCACTCGTTGTGGACAGCATAGGTGAAGTTCACCACTGTGTTGAACGCAGCCATAGAGGCCTCTGCGAAGGCCAAGTTCACCAGGAAATAATTGGTGACTGTCCTCATTCTCTTGTGAGCCAAGATGATCCACATTACCACCACATTGCCCACCACGGAGGTCACCACGATGGCCGTGTAGGCAGCTGCCCAAAGGACAATTTGCCAGGCAGGCTGCACGAACTGGTTGGGCTCCGAGGTGTTGGTAGAGATGTTTGGGAAGAGGTCTGAGTCTACTGGGAGGACGTTATCCATTCCTCGGTTAAGTGGTTAAACCGTGCTCTCTGTACACGCACCCACTTTGCAACAGGATCCCGAGGCCAGCGCCTGGAGTCAGGGTCCTGCTTAACCCAGACAGAAGGGCTACAGGCTCTTTCGGGCAGAACTCTTCCTCGCCAGCAGAAGGCTCGGCGCCCTAAAAATGAACGCTTGTCTGTCCCTGGTGCCACTGAATGCGTCCACATTCAAGCTTCAGGAAGCATTTGAGTTCAGAAATCTGGAGACGGTCTATCTTCTGCGTTGGGCTGAAAATGGAAAAGAAATTCCGTGGGTCACGGTTCCGAGAAGCAGGAGACCCCGGCCTTTCAGCACCTGCTGCTGCTTACAACTCCTACTCCCCTTCCTGCAGCGGGGAAGGCAAAACGCTCCGTGCTTCGTGAGGACTTGGGGGCACACAGGGTGCTCGTCAGAGCGCGACTCATAAAAGTTCTAGGTCTGTGGCCGGCATTCCGGAGCTCCGTGCCTATCTGGGAATTTTTCCTTTGCTTTCGCTGTCGCCCCTGCCGCCGCCACCTCTTGCAGCTTCGCAGGCGCCTCTTGGCTTGGGTCCTGCTAGGATTGGGAGTTAGCAGAAGAACCTCCGCAGACCGCGCGTGAGGGTTATAAAGCCCGGCAGAAATGTTTTACCAGGAGGGGGGAGTACCTGGGCTGCGTACTCGCCAGTCCGGGTGCGCTGCAGCTTCATCAGCTGTTGCCAGCTGTCTCACTCTAGCGTCGCAGCCACCACGCCTTTTGCAGCTCCCTGTACCTGCTGCGGGAGCCTGCCAGTCGGACGCGTCACGCACTCCGCCAGGGGGCGCTAGGCAACCTTGGAGTAATTGCGCCAGCTGGGGTCTGCAGCTGGAGCCGAGGAGGGAAAGGAAGGGATTGAGAATGAGCGGTAGTGAGGCACACCGAACTTCAGGGAGGGCAGGGCAGAGTGCTGCGACAGCTTTGCAGAGGCACCTGCCTGTGGCTGGGGACTAGGGCAAGTGTGGGGGCGACCTGCCAGCGCTGCGCTGCGGCAGTGCTCCAGCCTGCGCTCCAGCGGGAGTGCACGGCGCTCTGGGTCTGGCGACTGTGGAGAAGCAAGAGGGGAGGACATCTGGTTTCCGGAAACCGGAAAATAACTTTGCTGAGGTCGTGTTTAGGAAACTCCTCCAAAATGCCTAGTTCCTTTCCCTGGCGGGCCGATTCCCCTGGGAAGCAGGGATAAGCTCTACGCCTTGGGAACACCCTCCCTAACCTCTTTGGTAGCTTGACTCCTTGCTCCATGAAAAACTCCAGCTGTGCTCTTCGGATGAGCTGCCCACACAGACAACGGGGACGGGCACGGGGACGGGGACGGGGACGGGGTTGCGTTCCCTGTGAAGCTTGGTGAGCGGAGAAGCCACCCACCGGCAGTGTGTTGCCCAGCGCGCGGCTCGCTCTGGGCTCTCCGCCAGCGCCCACTGCAGCCTCGCGTTCGCCGCCCGGGGACCTGGCAGCCTCTGCCTCCAGGCCGCCGGGTGCAGACCAGGCGGGGACCTGCGTGGCATGGTGGTGGTGTAGCGGCGGGACTCTTCCACCTCCCAGCTCCCAGGTTTGCGTAGAGACTAGAGGGCAGTTCTGCCCGCCTTTTCCGTACCCGCCCTCCCATCCCCAGCTCCTGCCACCCTCACCACCCCTCCCTAGGCTTCGAAGCCTAGCCTCCCAGTCCAAGGCCATTTTGAACAACTGAGCTGGTACTGGGCCCTGGAAGGAGGTGGGAAGGGCTCGCCAGTCGGTGCGAACCGTTTTGGAGAAGCCGAGATGGGCTGAGGTTAGGAGAGAGTTCCAGCCACAGTGCCAGATAAGCAGTTCTGTGGGGACTCGAACCTTCGGAGCCTTTCTGGGAGCCATATAACGTTCTGCCCGCGATCCACCCTTCACTGTGGGGACTCCGAACTGTGGGACGCGGGCAGGAGGCTCGGGTCGACGAAAGCCCACACTATCTTCGGAGCCGCGTTTTGCGCGCCTCTCAAGCTAGTGCGTAAAGTATGTTTCGGGAAGCTTTTTAAAGCTTAGTAATTTATTGCCAAGGTTCTGGGCAGAGCTAAAATCGGATCCTCTCTCTGGGAGGGAAGTGTACTAGTTCACCCAGGTTTCTTTGAAGTCTGGAATCTCAGCATGATATGAACCGCACCTGCCACTGCTCGGTCCTGGTCCTCCGAGAGCCCCTATACCCACAGGAGAAAACTCCCAGGAAGAGGCCTTAAAGAGACCAGCCCGCATCCCCCTCCCCGCCTCCTTACTGGAAGGGGGCAGAAAAGGGAAGGCCTGCTCTACCGCCCAGGGTCTCTCCCAGTTGCTTCCACCGCCTCTTGGGGAGGGTGCTTGTGCATGTCCACCTTTAATGTGTCCTCCTAAGCTGCGTAAAGCTGTCTTTCTCTCTTCTTCCTGTCCAGTGGAGGCAGGTTGACATTTTCTAAAGGAACTTTACTCAATGCTTAAAGGAAAAAAGAAAGTAAAGAAAACCTAAGCTAAAATATATAAGGCTTTATCCATTTATCTTCCATCAGTAGAGCAAGTTGGTCTCTTGAACAAGGTGCCGTGCTGGAGATGCAGCACTTAGAGTCTAGTGCAGGAGAGGGAGACAACTACACGCACAGACAGCATGGCTGAGGCAGGCTAGGAGTAAGTTAGGAAAATCCCCTGGCAAGTGGAGTGAGGGAGACTGGGACAAAGTAGTTGAACAAGGCAGAGCAATCAACAGCCTGCTGATAAATCAAAAGATCTTACTTTCCTTAACCAAGGACACTCAGGAGCAGGTGGTTTATACCCCTCCTCCCCAACCAGAGAGTAAGTAGCTTAAATCACCCTGGTCGGGGAGATAGATAACAGAGACCCAGGTAATGCCACTAGTGCCAGCCAAACCCCAGAACAGGTGAATCAAGGGAATAAATAACAAAAACCCAATTAAAGCCAGACAAATGCAGGATAAAAGTAAGACAGTGAAATGACCAGATAATGATTCCAAATTCCCTATACACTGATTTCGATGTATCAGCACATTGAAAGACACACCTGGAAAGCTAGTGAATATTCTGTTGAGACCCTCCTCTGAGACATTCCCTAAAACTCCCACCTTTAGAAAACACGTAGGAACCCTTAAGACAAAAATCCCAGCGTGCACAGTCCTGCTAGTACACTTGAGCCTCTCCTTCCCTCAGCACATGCTTTTACTTTCTTTCTCTGATGCTTCAAGGGTCCCCATGAGACTTGCAACCAGGGAGAAGTGGGCAGAGGCCTCTCCTTTTGCCTCTGTAGCTTGGTCCCTGAGTGCACGCAGCCCAGCGTGGCTCACTTCCGTTACTGTGACTTCCTTACGTAAGTCTAGGCAGCCCAGTCCATGCTCACTCCTGTTGCTGTGGCCTTGCCTCCTATCTGAAGCCTTTCCTTTGCTTCCCTGTCCCCAGCTTTGATAAAGGTGCTCTCAGAATCACCTGGACTCCTGTCACAGAACCTTTCCTACATGAAGTTGAGAGCCCACACATTCCAGACTGTGCTGGGGCAGACCTGCCTCCGTCCCAGTCCCTTTCTGGTGAAGAGATGATGGGGTGAGGGAACCTAATTTTGGCAACAGAGGGAATCAGGGAAGAGAGTAGAAAATTGTATCTATGGAGAAGCCTAGAGAATGTGTTAAGGCTGAGGGTGAAACGGAGAGAATATTTCAGACAGAAGTTTTAGATATCAAACCACATGACTCTGCTTAACATCCCAGGGACTGCCCAGCTCACCTAGAGTAACACCTAGATTTCCTACTCTGCGCTTCAAGGGTCTGTGTTCCTCACCCTGACATGTGGATGAAGCTGGCCTGAGTGACTGTCCTCTGGGATCCTGGTTCTTCCTGGCAGGTAGCCATGCCCTAGAAATATATATGACTTGATAGAGTTAATTTCTCTCTCTTACACACACACGCAAGCATATTTCTGAGGGGTTCACATTAAGACAAAAAGTCTCTGCCATACAGTAGCCAAAGCTATTCCCTGGTTTAGACACATGGTCTGAGGAGGGACCTTCAGTGGCATTGTCCCTTCTATAAAGTAGTGACTTTTTTCCCCACATAGGAATAACTTTGCATGAATGTGTAGATAAGATACTATATAGGCTTTTATTTCCTCCAAGAACTGATATTTTCCCCTTATCCTCTTTTCCTCCTCTCTCCTTTCTACTGACCTTTCTCCTGGACATATAACTCAGGCCCACCAGAATCGCAGGGAATTCAGTTGACAGGCTAGTGTAAATCCTTCCTTATTTGTCCAGACTCTTTCCTACTATATATAAAATAAATACAAACACACACAATAACCATACATGTAAACCTGTGCAAATATAAGACTTTCACTAGTGTTTGAATTTTGTTTTCTCACTCAAAATGCTGTTTAGGTGCTTCAGAATCAACAGGTATAGATTTAACTGATTCTTTTCAATGGCCAAATATTATTTTTATGTTATGGATGCACTGTACACTCCATTTCCTACTCATAAAAATTCACTTTGCTTCCAGTTTTTTCTACTAAAGACAATGCTACCATAAACATTCTTACATATGTCTCCATAGTCTGGTGCTTTTGTTTCTATGGGACAGGTTCCAAGTGGAATTGCTAGGTAATGGATTATATTTATATTCATTTGCATACATATGTGTGTTGTATATATCTATTTCTATTAATGTTGCCAGATTGCTTTCCAAAAGGGTGTGATATGGCTACATTTCACTAGCAATTAAATTACCCTTGTCTTCACTTCTATTTCAGTAATAAGTATTTTAGTTTTGTCAATTTAGAATATGTAAAATAGATAACATCTCTAATTCATAGTGTTTTTTTCCTGACTACTAGAGAACTTGAACTTCTTTTATTTTTTGGCTGTGTGGATTTTCCCTTCTATAAACTGCCTGTTCACATCTCTGTCTCTTTTTCTGTTGGATATCTTCCCATCATTTTTTAATAAGTGCCCTTTTTATGCTATAGGTACAAACATTTTGCCCATCATGAATATTTCAAATATTTTCCTAATGTTTTATTAATTTCTTGACTTATGTATTTACCAGAAAAACTTAAACAATTTTTATTTTTAGCATTTGGGTTTTAACAGCACTTTGGTTTTAACAAGTCTCCCTGAATGCTGGCTTTTTTCACATGGTCTCCTAGATTTTCTTGGCAACTTTTTATTGTTTTATTTTTTTGCATTTAGGTATTTAATTTACTTAGAGTTTGTTATTTTACATTATGTAAACTTTTATTTCTGTTTCTTATATATAATCAGATAGTTTTCACGGCTCCATCCATTTTTCTAGGTATTAAATCATTATTCTTGTCATAGATTAAAATTTCGAATATGTGTGATCTACTATATTCCCCAGTATTTCCCATTGATCCATTTGTCTAGTCCTATAGCAACATTATAAAATCCTTTACCTTTCTTAGTGCTATGCAATTAGGTAGAGCCTTGTGACTAATTCAGCCAATAGGTTGGGAGCAGAAAAGACACAAGTATGTGTCGCCTCCAGTCTGAAGTATTGAAGTGTGTGTGTGTGTGTGTGTGTGTGAGAGAGAGAGAGAGAGAGAGAGACAAGACTTCTCTAAATATTCTTTCCTGCCAAGTCCCAAATGATGCAGCTGCAAGATAACAGGTTTTGATCGCCTTGAATTCCTGAGCGGCTGTATAACATGAGCCCCTGATACATTATTATGAA